TTCTTATTTGTACTCACTTTGTCACTGTTATTTGTAATAGTGTGTCTCTATTCATTTCAGGGGACCGCATCGTGCCAAGCCATTCAAATACAACCCACAGCATGGATTCTTCAGTCACAGATGAATCTTAATTTGCTATATGATCAGCTGGTTTAATTTGTTGACAGTTCTGTCACATGTCAACAAGTTTGTTAGCGATGTATGGATGAAACTTTTTTTAAATTTATTTGTTGTGACCCGGGGATTTAAAAAAAAATACTACTCTGCTATGTACTGGTAATTATCTATTCTCTAGGCGGAGCTGCATCACAGAATGTTCTATGTACCACTGTGCCCAATATTTATTTGGGCGCTGCAGGCAGAGCTAGTGAAAACTGCTAAAGTTGAGAAAACAGCATAAACTCAACTATGAGACAATCCAGAACAACCTAATTTATATATGTTGCACATGTAGGGGTAGTCGTGTTAACTGTTTAGGAGAGTCTCGACAACTAACCCAAATGACAGTGTCCGACCAATAGTGGTTGCCAGGCAGTGAAAATGCCCAGATGACCACCCCAAAAATAGCATCTACTCCCGATTGTAGTCCTTCATCTCTAAAATATGTTTTGTCCTTGTTAGACAAAGCTTTTCATTTCATCGACTATTGAGCGACTCTCAGCCCCTTTTCCAGAAATACATCCAAAATCAACATTTGAACATATCATTTGGTTCGTCCCACATTCCTTCACTTAGAATTTATTGCTGTCTATATCCAATTCGATATGGTAGCCCTGAGATTGAGGCTTGACTCGGTGAAACGTCCATGTCCTGGGCTTTGGTAAAGAACTCAATGCTGGCCAAGGGTAAAAATATGCTTTACTTTACCACTTCTGTTATTTGATCAATTAAAATATCTAGATATTTTTACAAAGTTATGTATAAAATAGCTGACATGAATAAATACTCTATTCAGTAACTAATTGTATTCTCTTTTGTTGAAAAAAAAAATTATGATTTGTTTAACATCCATCAGTCTCAGTACAACCAGTGACTACTATTCTTGCTAAAGTCAACATGCATGCTTATTAAACAATGGTACCGGTATGTACTTACATTTGTAATCATGGGGCACATGCCTTCTCAGCTCAATCAGTAGAGTGACCTGGCTGATAAAAGAAACCAGGGTTTGGCAGTAGAAATTATCCTCTGTCTAAAACTAGTAGACAATTTTAGGAGTATTGGAGGGATTTCCAAAATTCCCTCAGTGTACTGCGGAATACAATGCATCATGGCATCCAAAATTAATGATTGGAATCATTCGTTTAACTGAAGTAACAGAAGGAATTTTACAATAATGTATAGTTTATTATGAAATGAAAATGTACAATTTAGAGAGGACTAAAAAAAGATGACAATATCAAATTAAAATGCAAATACAATGCAAGTACATCCTGTGGCCATTAGTAATGATAAACAAATAACATGGTAAATGAGGTTGGGTAGAATATTTCAATATTTACATTGCAAGATTTCAGAAATTATTACAAATACACAAAAGAATGCAATATGTTGATTAATTTTAATTTTCCTCTAAATGTACCTTTTTATGAAAAAAACAAAACATGATTACTCTTAACCCAAATGTGAATCCGTTACAAATTCCATCAAAAAGATTGTCCCTTTATCAATGAATAAAACAAAGAATGCAGTAAATCACATACTACATAAGGTAGTTTTTTTTGGAGGGGGGGGGGGGGGGTCAAATAAGCCTGAATGTTTTCACAATTGCAGTGAGCTAAAATAACTAATATAATTTCTGTTTCATGATTATTCACATCCAAACAATCAATTTGAAAAATGGGAATAAAAATCAATCAAAAATATTTTGATAAAAAACAATGATATGGACTTGTAGCCATATACTCACACAGCACTGTATGCTATTTGAATTGAAACAACACAGTTCAGATTTTATCTGGGCACTTTGCTGCTTACAGAAAATATTGACAGAGCAAGCAATCAGGTCCTGTAACAAATTGGGTTTGGGATCCTATTTATGAAATGTACATACCACATTGGCTCTATTAGTAGCATATGTACATTGCAGGATTGTTTCTAGAGGGAAAATAAGTCGTATTTTGAAGATTCATTTTTGGTTTATGTGCTTCTAATAAGGCAAATAGTATATACATGTCAATTATTTAGAATACTACTACATGCATGCTGTGTACAAATAGATTAGACACGAATATGCTTATAATGGGAAGCGTGATATGCAGGAAATGTTGCACTCTCAGCATTATACATGTACAGAGTTCAATGGAATCAGAAGAAATGCTTCTTCATTATACTGTCCGGAGTTGTACTGTAGTATTTCTGACACAAAGCACATTGATATCATCGTCTGACACGTAACAAATCCCATCATTGACCTTCATGTATGTCTACTTGTGTCATGAAATAGAAGCACACATGTGCACAGCGCCCTCATAAAACTCAGGAACTACTCATCTAAGTAGTTTTAAAAGTGGCAGTAAAAATAATTGAAATTTGGCTTCAAACAGAAAACCATTGTCCTTGCCAGGTCACGTTGATCGTCTCTTAATGGAGTACTTGCCCTTTTGGAACTGTGTGACATAAATTCGGACTTTTGCATTATCACTGGTTTTTCTGATCCATATCTAGAAAAGAATCAGTAACACAATCAACTATACATCATATTGAAATGAACTGAAGATACTGTGTGAGTTACAGCACAGTTCTATATGGGACATACATTTTGTTATCTTTCTTTGCTTGGCAATCTGATTAAAACTCAATGTTGGTGGATGGCATTAATTCCAGTTGGCAGAGTACATCTGAGCAAATAACTATGTAAAACATGATTTATCAACCAATTAAAGAGTGGAAGCTACAGAATGGTTTGTAACGCACGTTTTCTAGTAGCTGATCCTATAAGACCTGAACATTATCTACATATGTGTCGGTGAATACGTTGGATGTAGATTGAGGCAATGTACACCAGTGGCTATTTATCAAAAGCAAATTTGTTTCTAAGTTACTGTAGCACCAGTGTCAATTCTGTGCTATGAACAGTCATTCGGGAGACATTTTGCATGAATGCTAGTGTTTTTATTTTGTTTTTCTTATACATTTCTCTAAAATCCATTTGAAAAACTAGCTGTGATGTGCACATTTTTAACTGACACACACAAGTCATAATAAAACTTCACTGAGTAGATGTTAACTCATCCTAAGCTTACTATTACTTGTAAGTTATATTGGTAAGGACATCAACTGAGCCATGTGGTTACTACGTACCTCTGACTGACCGACAGAACTGATAACACCGCTGACTTTATTTCCTTCTTTGTTTTCATAATAGACTGGTTGTCCTCTATGGTACCATCGTTTATCGTAGAATAGTTTCCCGTCGTCAATACGGCATTCGTAGATGTGATGCGAATTATTGCCTGACGAGCAATGATTTCCTGACGAGTCGTGGTGATCTGGAAACCAAATATAATGATCATTGTCCAGTCCAACCAACCAAGGTTAAGTGTAAGATTCTTTTGAATCTCATTTCAGACTGCATAAATGTGATGCAAATAAAGTTCTGGAACATACAGATGTTTTATAAATATTTTTAAAAAAAACATCTTAATTACATGCCACACACTACACTGATGCATGATATACTCCAGAGGCTATTCCTCTTGCACCGATTTCCAAACGAGACGACCTCGATAAGCTATTTGGTAAAGACATCACCAACAGGGTTCAAATTAAACACAAATGAATACTTACTTGATCTTCTTGTTGTAACAGCTTTTCCCTGAAAACAAATAATAAAAGTATTGTTATGAGGTAATATGCTTTGTATATACAGGGTGTGTGGTCCACCTTTCATCTGAAATGTTATCGCAAACAATGCAAAAAATACAGAGACAGTGTTCATCCCGGGCATGTAGACCACTATGCTGCCAAAAATTGTCATTACACCACAAACAGAAAATAAAATGATGTAGCTTGAAAATTAAATAATACATTCCATTTGAACATTAAATTTACAATATTCCATTGTTAAAGTTGAATAATGTGGTGGTAACACACAATAAATTTAAATAATATCTCCCAAAGCATGTCTGTCATTGAAACATTAATAGAATTTAGAATAAAATTCTTCTGCCTTAAATAAAGCAAGTTTTTTTTACATAATATCAAGATCAATTTAAGAAATTCACCAAAATCATACATATATACATCAATGGATATTACAAATTTCCAATTTGTTAATTGTGTTGCAGAAATTGCTATAATTAGGCAGGATGAATGGTAAACTATCATCCTCCAGAGAGTACCGCAACATGGACCACTGCGAAAATTCTACAGAGTACAACAACATGTACCTTTGTAAGAACTCTCCAGAGAATACAACAGCATGGACTCTTGCAAGAATCCTCTAGGGAGTACAACACCATGGACGTCTGCAAGAATTCTCCAGAGAGTACATTTTGTACAACACTATGGACCTCTGCAAGAATCCTCCAGAGAGTACAACAGCATGGACCTCTGAAAGAATTCTCCAGAGAGTACATTTTGTACAACACCATGGATCTCTGCAAGAATCTTCCAGAGAGTACAACAGCATGGACCTCTGCAGGAATTCTCCAGAAAGTACATTTTGTACAACAGCATGGACCTCTGCAATAAATCCTCCAGAGAGTACAACAGTATGGACCTCTGCAAGAATCCTCCAGAGAGTACAACAGCAT